TAAAAAAAATTTAATTTATAAGGCCATAATTTTTAATTTATTATTTTCAATGAAATTAAATTTATAATTTATATTTTTTATTTAATATATAATTTTAAATTAACAACACTAAAAAAATAATTTTATTTAATATATAAATTTAATTTTTTAACAACACTAAAAAAAATTTAATTTATAAGGCCATAATTTTTAATTTATTATTTTCAATGAAATTAAATTTATAATTTATTTTTTTTATTTAATATATAATTTTAAATTAACAATACTAAAAAATAATTTTAGAGAAATATGTAAATTTAATTTTTTAACAACACTAAAAAAAATTAATTTATAAGGCCATAATTTTTAATTTATTATTTTTAATTAAATTTAATTTATAATTTATAATTTAATTTTTTTATTTAATATATAATTTTAAATTAACAACACTAAAAAAATAATTTTAGAGAAATATGTAAATTTAATTTTTTAACAACACTAAAAAAAATTAATTTATAAGGCCATAATTTTTAATTTATTATTTTTAATTAAATTTAATTTATAATTTATAATTTAATTTTTTTATTTAATATATAATTTTAAATTAACAACACTAAAAAAATAATTTATAAATGTTCAAAACACTATTTTACCCTTTCTAATTGTTTACTAAGTAATAGCATGGAGGGTAAAATGGACATTTCACCAAATAATCCCATGGGATACCAATCCCATGGTTTCTATCTCACACCCCTTATGGGATAGAATAGTCCCATATTTGTGGGACTAATAGTCCGGGGGGACTATTAGTCCGGAGTAAAATTTTACAAACAAACAATGGACTATTAGTCCGATGGGACTAATAATCCAATCCCACACCCTTATCCCTCAAAACAAACATGCTCTAAGTATATACATTTTATCTCACCTATGTCGAATCAAATTTGTGAGTTATTTTAAAAGAGAATGAGAATTAAAATATAACTCTTATTGAGCATGTTTGATTGAGTGGATTAGAGCATGGGATTAGGATTATTAATCCGTGGGTCCAATTATCCTATGTTTGTTTTAACATTTTGATTTAGGATTATTAATCCAATGGATAATTAATCCAACAAATTTGTAGGATTATTAGTAATGGGGTAGGGGTGGGATTATTAATCCAATAGATATTAATCCAATTGGATAGTGAATACCTCACTAATTTAATATGATTATTAATACTTCACTATTAATCTTGTGAATCAAACATGATCATTATGTATAATATTTTGTCATCACAAAAAGTCCACAACAATTTTATATATATATATATTCCAAATATTTTTCCTTCGCTAGCAATTACTTATAGAGCATTGATAGAGACCCCCTCCAATCACCACCACTACCACCCCCACACACACATGGCGGGTGGTGATTGAAGGAGAAGGAAAAAAAAAATAGCAAAAGAAAAACTAGCCAATGAAAGAGAAAGGGGGTTAAAGGGGGTGGGTGAGAAAAGGAGTCTTAAACATTTTTGTTATTTATAAGTGTTAGACAATCTTCACTGTATTTAATTAAGTTAAATTCTGTTGTGTACAAAACAATAACAAGAATATAAAGAAATAAAGAAAA